CACCATCATGCGCACCTCTTTTCTTCACTGTCTATATGATCCAGCCCACTGTCTGACACAAGATTGGTCTGATATGATCTTCATATCTCATGTCTTCACAGTTTTCATTTAAAGGAAAGGGAACTTCAGTAAAGGGTGCTGTAAAGATTAAATCAACTTTCTACCACCGCTTTTTCCCATACAGCATTGTTTTTGGATATAGCTTCTTAAACAGTCTTTTCCAATCCATTGTCTCTCTTTCCTGTGTCTTCCCAAATAGTCTAAACACAAAGAGCTGAATCTGGCTGCTATTCTGTCCAATTTCTAGGTTTTGATTTCAAAGTTCAAAGGATCTATTGAGGTTTAATTCTAAAAAAATGGATATGCTATATAACTTTCTCACTACACTATTAAACCTTGATAACTGCCACTTAAAGCATTATCCATCCTCAAGTTTTCATACAGCCAGACTTAATTTTAATTTCTAGCTGATTATATTTCTCAGATCCTCTATGAGAGCTTTGGACCAATTCTTGACTCTCCTTATCAACCACTGTTCAGACAACACACTTTATTACTACAACTTTCCCATTAGGTACTTCATGGATTCGAAAGCCTGGACACTGAGGGTACTTATGTGCTGTTCTTTTCCATTAGGACAGCATTCCCTTATTGCTCATTTATTTCCATACACCCCTAAAGGAGAACTGCTGTGGAGTATGAGTAATGCTTTCCATATTAGACTACACTAGGAAGAAGATTGATTTCTCTTTTCTTTCTTCTTCTTATTTTATTGTTATTGCGATTATCAGGTCTGTTTGTAAGAGCTTTATTGAAGATGGGAGGCAGGACAGTCAAAATAACCAGATTTTAAGGCTCAGTCCTGTGTCTACTGAAGTCAGTGGATGCTCCCACAAGTACCATAATTTGTCTGTTTACCTTGAGGGTTTCCAATCCTTTTACTGAATATTTATTATCATTTCCATAAACTCTTTTCTGCTGACAGGAAGACTCTAATGAAGGATTATGGATGATTTTGCTGAGGGTTATTACTTATGTGACAAAATAAAAGCAAAACACAGGCTGGTAGAATGAAAGGCTTTGGCATCATGTTTTCAAAGATTCTAGGCTCTGAGTCATATTTTTCAATTTTTAACATGATGCATCTGTGTAAAATGACTTCTTCAAGTTGGTTGGAAGTTACAGTAATTCAGAAGGTAGTCAATAAACTGTTCAGTCATTTCAGGTGTGGGATGACCTCTAGGAGAGCTGTAACATGGCAAATGGCAGTAACCATTCGATTGCCTGATTTTAATACATTGCCGTATCTGCAGCAGAATCCAATGACTCAAGTTATATACCCAAAGTATTTAAGTACTTCACTCTTACATGTCAAAGGCTAAAATTCAACTGCTACCAGCCCTGGAGATGCCTAAGATCTCCAGATCTCTACATGAATGCAGCTCATGACTGCTTAAGCCCAGGCCATGAATATGTAATGCTTAAGATTCATGAAGATCCACAAACCAAGTGGCTCCTATTCAGGTAGTTTCTGGAAAGGAAAAGGTTGATGATGATGACACAAGGAGGAAGAGTTGCCTTTTTCCCCAAAACTGCACTACAGCACTTGTCTGTATTGTGAGGAAACCAGCTACATTTTTTTATTTAAAAGACTTGAATCCACACAATTCATAGGAGAACATTTTACCCGTCAAACATGAGCCTTTTTTTCTTCCAGCTACCTTGTTGAAGCTCATGTCATATGTTGCATAAACTAGTTGAAAACAAATGAACAAAACCAACTTTTCTCCAGGCTAAGGAACAGAACCCAGGCCTGTCCCCTGAACAGCAGTTTTCTAAGCTATACTACAGTCTCTGCTCTCTTTTTGTTTTGAGTCATAAATGCAGAAACAAATTGAAAAAGCTTCAGCAAGGGACTTTGTGGGTCTGTCTATGCTTTAGTCTCTTCTCTGGGTGATCCACTGACAGCAGTTTAGCTCTTCAGTGCTTCAGATTCTGGGCCTCAAGACCAAATTACTTTATGTGCTTTTGAATCTGTAACCTAGTTTAAGGTGAGTATGAATATATTCTAAATATACTTGAGATCTTTCAGGTTAACTGACAATGCCTGCTCTACTGTATTCTTCAGTGACTGATTAGTATTATTATCAGCGATTCCTTCACTCTCTGCTTGTAAATGCTCAGTGGTTACTGGGAGCCTCCCTGCCTATTTCAGCAGTGTGAGACCATGGCTTTGACCTTTAAGTAACTTTTTTAGTACTGCCAGAGAGCTTAGCCACATGGACACAGACTTGATCCCTCACAGCACAACACTGCTCAGGGCAGGACTATTTAACAGCAGCATGGGATAGAATACTAAATCCACCCCGAAACAACCCGCCCGCTAAACTCTGTCTCTATCGCGTAGGCTAGGAGAAAGTTGTGTAGAGCATTATTAATCATAGCTAACAATAAGGATGTTTACAGACAATCAGCGAGCAACACCTTGCATTTGTACAATTAGCATTTTAGTTCTGTTGTTACATAGAGGAAAAAGCAAGCAATTAGGAAATGGATTGGTTAATCATTCTTAATGACTATCTTTGGTGTTAGTAGCATGTTTTGGTTAACAATTCATGAATTCACAATGAACCATTTAACCTGCATTCTTCAATAAGTGTGTTAAAAGAAGGCTGTAATGACAGTTACATACCTGGCAGTACCATCCAATTGCTCTTTCCTTTTATAGAAGAGAGGATGCAAGAAAGCAAGGAGAGAAGAATTACATAATAAATTCAAATGATTCTTTTAACTGAAATTGCTAATCCACTGCCTACAGTTCATATTTTTTCTGTTCTGTGACCATAACTGACAACAGAATAAAGTTTATGATCTTGCATTTTCAAATAGCCCTAAGGAAAAGAGGGTAGTAGAGGTTCCTGTAACCAAGCTATGCTATTTAGACCAGAAACCAGTCTTCAGTGAGAAGTTAACTTCCTTGCCCTCTCTCCTGGGACATTATTTGCAAAGCACCTACTAAATTTCAGTCTCATTTAAATCAGAGGTGACCCTACACACAATAAAAAAACTTGAATTCATAGTAATGCATCCAGACTCTGAGGAAGCCAAGAATTAATCTCTGAATAAAGCCTGAGATAAAGAACCCCTCTAGAAATTATTTTGAGTGATAACGTGGGAATAGATAGAGAATAAGGAAGGATGAAGAATAGGGCAGAAAAGGACTGAGCCTTAACTAAACATTTTTTGCATGGAAGATTTGCTTTGTGACCTAAGTGAGATTAGTCCTATAGAAATGTATTGTGAATAAAAAAATGAGTGATTTTGATCCATAATTTGCCCTTTGTTAAGGCAGGAGGCTGAAAGGTATATGGTTCTTCAAAGTCTTTATAAGGAACAGCTGGAGCTGCATTATCAGTACAGTGATCACAGCTCACACACGTTGAGCTCTCCTTCAGCTGAGTAGTCATTTGAGAGGAGTGTTTTCAGAATCAGGCATAACAGCAAAGGAAAAAAGGAACTTTAAAATATGTCCTTGGTTAACTAAAGCTCATTATTAGCATCTGAAATTCTATAGCTAAAAGCCTTGGCTTTCACAGGGTCTTTTTTTTCCAATGTAAAATCCTCAAGTTGAAGGTGTTTCGAAGTGAGGCCTATTTGACAGGCAAAAAATGTGGGATCAGACTTATTTCCATAAACAAGCAACCATTAAGTCTCAGTGTCTTTACATTTTGAATGCTTTGTACTGAACTCAGGAGGATGCAAACTAAACAAGAGAAAAAAAACAAAAAACAAAAAACACGACCCTGACTCCCCAAAAAAGTTGTCTTGAGGAACTTCCACTACTATCTTCAGTGGGAGAAAGTTTTAAATATGATTTGACTGTTCTCCACTGAATTGCTCCTCTGAACAATTGGTATTGGTGTAAGGCTACCATTAATACAGTTACGTTTCCTTAGGTTCTCATGCCATGGCCACCTTTGTGACAAAGCAATTCTCATGTCAATCAAGTTGTAGAAGGTGAAGTAAGAATGCATCTTCTTTTAGGATAGCACAGATATCTTAAGATATAAAATAACATCATGAAGGGCATGAAAAATACAGGCACCTATGAAGTCCAGGGCTCAAAAATTCTTAGGGATAGATCATTCTTCTTCAAAGATTATTTTAAATAGATTTGAGACTTCAGGGGAATAATCTCCAATCTTAAAAAGGGAAGCTAACACTGAAACAATCTGTTAACCTTCTCCTTTGTTCAAAATAAAAATGACAGCCACCCTGTGCCCGGATACATCTCACCTAGGGGAAGGGAGAAGAAATAGAAACAAAAGCCAAAAGGATGTTTTTCACTTTCATCCTGGAAGAAGGGAGAAAAAGGAAGGAAAACTCATTCCACAGACAAATGAAAGAGGTGGGATGTGATACCAGAAAATACTTATCATGGGCTTGCAGGCAGACCCTTCACAAACCCTACCATATGAATTCACCTTACTATATCACATAACACATTTTTATCTGAAGATGGATATTGGACTTGTGAGTCATTTTGGCCAACTGCCTTTGCTCTCAGTGCTCCTATCAGACCCTAAACAATATCTCTTCATTTTTTTGTTTCTTGTAGTTCTTTTTCTTCAAACTAGGCAGTCCATAACACTGGTTTGCATTTCTAGAGAAGAAGTCCTTTTAAAAAAGCATTTCTACATTGTTGCCAACAATGTTTTCTGCCAATTGCCCATAGCCTACAAAACCCTCATTCATATATGTGAGTTTCATATTTCCTGTCTTAATTTACACTTCATAGGAAATGATGAAGGAGAGATGGACAATGCACTTACCTGAAAAATGGAAATGATACAATTGACTCATAAAACCTCCAGGTAGCAACCAGATCAATCCTATTGGGGTTAGTAGCATAGTATCTCCAGGCAGCCTGAATCACAAAGAAGAGGGAATAATTAGTGCTAGATAAAGCAGGACTGAAAGAAGAGAGATTGTTTCAAAGAACGCAACCATGCCCATCTAGAAATGAGTTATTAACCAGTGTCACAACAGATGGTGAAATTGTTGACACTGAATTATAACCTAGGAGGGCTGCTAAAAGAGGTAGGTCATGACGCAGAACTACCAGCACTAACAGGAGGTTACATTTAACTAATCTGAGTTTATTTTCCTGTCTGTACATCTGAAAAAGCTTCAAAAACTACTTAACTTGTATGATATTTTTGAAAGTGTTTGATCTAGTTTACTGTGTAATGTGTCATCAGGGAAATTTTGCTGAACAATTTTATAGTTCCACATTTAGCTCCTCTCAGAATTTTCTAAGAACATAACTAATGACATTGTGGCAAATTAGCTACTTGTTAAGCAGAGATGCTTTAATTTAAAAGGTGGATTTCATTCACCACTCACTCCTGCAGCCCTTCTGATTGCCAGGGAGTACTTTCAATGAGCAGTGTAATGCGCTGCTTGACCTGTTGCACCAGGAGACTGGTTTGACCCTGAGCAGTGCCAAGCATCGGTGCTTCCATCTCAAGGCACAGAAAATTTCTCTGTCCCCTGGGAAAACGCTGCCTTTGACTTAACTTCCCCACTCCATACCTACACAGAGTAAATCCTGTAAAGTTTAATAACCTCTCAGACTAGTGATTTTGTGCTTAATTCTCTAAATTAGTAACAAAGACCAGAACTAAAGTCCAAGTGAACTAATGACACTTCTGCTATTGCCTTCTATGAACTTCCAGTGAGCTTCTATGAACTTCCAATGAGATAACGGAAAATTCAGGGTTTCTTTCATTTTGACAGACCACATATATTTATGCATTATGCCTGGATTGAAACAGTCACTGTCTGCTGTGTTATTTCCATTGCTGTTTTCACATCACTAGCAACAGTTATTTGTTTGCATATAAAACACTTCCTCAAGCGAACTGGCAAAACCTGGATTTTGGAAAAAAGAATATGTTTTTGACAGCTTGTTTTCTGTGATTTTTGAGGCACTGATGCAGAATTTGGTTGATTTCCAGAAGCTAGTAAATGAATGGCTTTCTTCTAAAGTCATCTTTCTTCTAAAATATATTTTAGTAATGCAAAAATTCCTCAAAAAATGCAAGGACCTCTGGATTATCTAGCTTGACATGAACAAAACTGGCTCCTGTATAAGCACAGCTTCTCCCCTCCTGCAATGGAAATGTGAATTTGTGCAGGGAGGAGAGGTGATCCTTATTACATGATATAACAATTTAAATAGATGCTATAACAGTTTTAATAAATGACACTTTTCAAAGAGTGGAGAAGTGGCTTCAAACCTGAATAAGTTCGGCTGCTGGCTTTCTTCTTTTCTCAAAATGTTTTTGGCGATGTTGCTCCTGGACCTTCAGTGCCAGCCCTGAACCCAAGATGCCCTGAAAGTGTAGAGAGATTCAAGATTTTAGGCGTATCTCACTTAGGAAACGTAGAGAAATAAGGAGGAAGCTGTTCTGTAGAGGACACATGGAGATAGATATGGGATCTTTGTGCAATACCATCCATGCTCTTTCTAAATACACTGTCCTTTCCATCTAGCACTCTGCCAAACAACACACACAAGGTTCAGAGAACATCAGGGTGCCATATTATTCCCAATAGGCTCTATGCAAGGTTTGTCTGGGGAGAAGGGGGGCTGAAAGCAATATGCCACTTGCCTCCAGGGTACCGAATAAGGTTTATGTTTTTTCCTGGTATGGACAAACTGAATCTGAATTCCTTCTTAAAATGGTGATCCTATTGGGAGTTTCACCACTTCAATTTTTTTTTGAAAAAAATAATTCACGCACATCCACAAAATACTTGTAAAAGAACCTACAAGAATTCTCTCTTACCTTTGGTAGGCCTGAGTTAGCTCTTGGTAAAGGAAAGAGAAGGAAGATACTTACAGCAGGAAGGGCAAAGAACGACACTCCAATGAGTGAGAAAGTAGCTGCAATCAGCCGTCCCTCCCATGTCTTGGGAGTCTTGTCACCGTACCCAATCGTAGCCAGGGTGATCTGTAAACAAAATGATCAGGACTTCCCATAAGGAAAACAGAGCAAACAGATCCACTTTAAACATCACCATCACATTTGCATAACCCACTTAGATGTATGGTTGCTCATGCAGAACTCGTTAAAAAGTGATCTTGACAACAGGCCAGCTGCTTTTGTTTGTTTGTTTTGTTGTTGTTGTTTTAATATATATATATTTTAATAGCAACATGATCCACAGGTATCACACCCAGTAGAATGAACTTAGACTTAAATCACCTGCTTACTTAAGATGCTTTTGTTGAAAAGGGACTGATGTGGCACATGGAGTACTTGTCCTGCCCACAGTCAATGCAGAGCTAGAAATGGGACCTGCCAATTAACTGCACAGCTTGAACCACCAGTCAGGCTACTTCTCCCAGAGGCTTAAGCAGCGATGGCTTTGTGAAAACTGTCTTTCTACAAAATGACTGACCCTTTCCTTAACCCTTTTTTTACTCCAGTGAGACTCCACATGACTTTCTTCCTATTCAACTCTTCTAGAAAAGAGTATAAACATATCTAATTCCTCTGTGCAGCACTTGGGCCTTTTAATTAATAATGGAAAAAGAAAACTTTACATTAATGAATGAACTGCACGACAAGAAAAGGCACTGCTGAACTGCAGCCACCTCACAATATAGACAATTTCCATAACTATTTGTTGTAAAGAACTTAGCGTAGCAATTGCCTGGAGTCTTTTATGATCGAGTGAACAGTGACACAACCAATACTCCTCTGTTCATCAGAAAAGACAAAAACAGATGTATCCAAGGTCCCTTTTTCTCAGTATCCTACCACCAAGGACAATTTCTGAAGGAATTTTTGTAATTCATGTCAGACCTAAGAAATCTGTGGGGTAATGCTTCCCAAAAAACATCCTTCTACCTTCCTCATATGAATCCAGAGACCTCCTCAGTTTAAGAAGGGTCTTGCTACCTCCTTGTGCACCTTGTGAGCCAATCTATACTGGCAAAATCCTTGTTAGGCTCTCCGAGGCAGAAGACTCATGTGCTGAGAGCTAGGTCTGCACTAGCTCTGCCTGTGCAGTTATAATCACAGAGACACTCCTCTACAGGAGATGATACCCAGAAGTGAGGAGCCACAGTCTGGTTTCTGAAAGAAATGTAAGCACCTAAGAGTGAGTGAAAGTTAACGGGAACAGAAATTCTCAAAACTCAGTGTGGGAGCATCCCTGTTATTGACAACGTTAAACTAATAATATCCTCCTCACCCAAACTTATTAGCTCACTTATACTTCATTTCCTAACATTGATACTTTATGTGTTATTAGACATAACTTTTTCAAGAGGAGGATAGGACATTTCTGGAGTTACGTACCAGACCCCACCACAGTGCATCTGCATAGGTTTCAAACTCTTCTTTCATCTCCACCCCATTAGCATCCTTTTCAGGCACATCTTTTTCAACCAGATAAACAAGAAATGAGGAGAGGATGAGGGTCAGGAACCCAATGTACCAAGCAGTGATGAGTTCCTGGACAAGAAGCAGAAGGACAATGGATGGGTTGAAAACCACCTCATTAGCCACTGTGACAGAGTAAATCTCAAGAGCAGAGAAAAATGCTGAGGATAACAGCAGAGCTATCACTGCTGGCATGGTCACAGTCTATTAGCAGACCAACTCAGCACTTACTGAGAAATAATGCAGAGATACACAAGAGGAATCTAAAATTGTGGTTCTGCATAAAGCTGGGTTGAGGGATTAGCTGCACCATCACAGTGTCCTGCAGCACTTTGTTGCTGACCATGATTCTCCTGGTTGCTTCTAACAGTTGTTCTATCTGCCGCCAAACTGGGACAATCTTTGTAGGTGAACTAACAACTCTTCATATCCCTACCTCCAGAGGTCCAAGGCTGTGGGATAGAGTTCTTTCTCATTAGCCATATCAGATCAGCTTTTGAAGTAAGTTTTCACTATGCACTGATGAAATAAGACCTTGAAAAATAGCAGTATTAAAAAAAAAAAATCTGAGCTCAAAACCTGATCTTCCTTGCTCGGAAGTGAGTGACTGCAGTAGAGCATATGGCTAATCCCATTGACATGGGAGATGTTTCGACCCATCTTAAAATCCCCACAGTGTTTCAATTGGAATAGAGATATTTTTGATGAAAGTAGGTTGTGAGACAATATTCCACTTCCTTTTTTTTTTTTCTCTGAGAAATACATTTGCTAGGTTGTAGTTGAGAATTTTATCATTGAACTTTGAGACAAGTCAATTTTCTTAGCTAATTTCTGGTATGCAGCCACCAAATGAAATTTCTTTGTTCTCTTTGTTATCAGAATTGTCTCCTTAGTGTTTCCCAGTGTAACAAGGTTCTAACAATACCTTCATATCTTTCTCAGCCAGCTGGGGTCCAAAATGTCATGGTGGGGAATCAAAGGAGGAAGATTTTAAAAAAAAAATCCAGGCTATGAAGTTTTAAACACTTTCTTACCAATTTCTTTGGCACATGTACTTCTTTCATGATCTCAGTTTCCTAAAGCATATTTTTGACATAAGTGTTTATGTGCCACCCGCCTTGTAGCAAGTCTGTATGGGGTAGGAGCAGAAGTTGGTATAAAATGAAGCAGAATGGGTATCCCTATCAGACACTACAAAGAAGCAAAGTCTAACTATACTGTGCCAGCTGGCATTTTGATTTATTTTTAAAAAAACAAATGTCAGGAATGTCATTCACGGATCAGAAAAAGCACTATGTAACACAGACTATATGTGATTTTCATACTTCCAGTGAAGATGAGAAATCTCATCTAGAATCTTTTTATGCACATAGCTTTTAACGTGTAATAATGTTTGGTGAAAATGCAAGAGCACAACATATCTGTCTGGTGTGAGACAAGATAGACCGAACAATTTTTGAAATTTTGTCTGTCTGGATCTCACACTGCATGCATCTTTGTATTGCCTGACCTATGCTTTCAAAGAGAAAATATTCTTGCAGCTCCCTCTGAAACAACACTTCTGCTCATCAGCCTCTTTCCATTCCTCCAGAGTCTTGCTCTATCAGTTGATCAGGACAGTTTGAGAAGCCACTACAAAAATGTTTCAATTATAGAGGTGTTCCTGTCAAAGGTTTAACGTACTTTACCTTTAGTAGCATGTTCTGTGGGAAGGTAATATTACTGCTGAAATGAGTGTGGGGTTGAACATTGCTCTTTTCACTTCCCATTGAGCAGAGAGGTGTAAGCCAAGGGAGAGCATTGGCTGAGGGTATGGAAGAGACTCGAAAAGACTAAACTTTTCCTTGATCTCCAAATCTTAATACCAGTGGATTGCTGTACATTCCTTTTCTTCCCCTTCCACCTCTCCCCTTCCTGATCCCCAGCTCAGTCCCGCCACTTACTTTGCTATGTGCACAAATGGCAGATCCCAAAAGTTTCCACGTGCCGCCCCGCCTGTCCATTCGGAGCATCCGTAGGATCTGGAGGAAGCGGAGGCTTCTGAGAGACGTGGCCAGGACATTGCCTTGGTTCCCAACTGCTACCACTGGCACTGAAGCAATCAGCACAAAGATATCTGCAAGGCAAAAGGAAAAACAAAGCCTGACAGTAAAAGTGTCCTCATCACCTGCTTCTTAATTCCATCTGTTTGTGCTAAAAATTTCCCTAGGCAAATTTTAAAACTTCTTGAAAACGCCTTTGCTAGCCAATTAAACAGATATTGGCACCTGCAGCATGGTTGGAGTCACGTACAGAATGCACCAGAGCCTGATGATCAATTTGCAGATCAATGCACTGGGCTTGAAACAGCAACTGAGCTAGCACAGGAATGCAAAGAAGCAATGCAGACAGAAAAACAACCCTAAATCCACATGTCCCACAGGCTGCCCACAGCACGCACAGCAGACAAGAAACTCCATGTTCAGTGAAGCATCTAGTATTTTCTCCTTTTGTCTGGCCTCTTGTCTGCTTCTTCTTGTTATTTACTTTCTCCCCTCTCTCTCCGGATTTTTTTTTTCACCTCCCAACTCCCTTTTTATAAATACACATACAGTTAAAAGCAGCACCAAAAGGCTCCAAACATTCTCTCTCAGTCTTTAAGCTGTCTGTCTTTATATTGTGTTTCCAGCCAAAAAGGGTAGCACCAGATGGGTTTCAGATTTATTCAGTTTTCAATCACGCTCAAAATAAACTTGTGCCACTTACAAACCAAGACATAATGCTAATAAATCCAAAAGGGTCTTTTCCGTTCCTTATCCAGATATCAGTAAAGACTTATTCTTAGAAGTGAGACGCTTTTAATGAAAAGGCAAGAGATAGTATAAGCCCCACTTGCTTGCACATAGCTATACTGCCCTCACAATACCATTAGAAGTGTCAGAATACTTCTTTAACAGGATCCAAAGGACTTTACCAGCACAAAGGCACAAGGAAAATTTGTACCAGTTTAGTTTACCATCTATGCACATAAAGTGAATAAAAGGAGGAAGAGAGGGGAAGGTGCTGTGCATATCTGTAAGGGTTCCCATGGTGCTATACACTTTATAATGGACAAAATGTACTGTACTATAGCATGTACTATACACTGAACAAAAAAGCTAGTTGTTGGCCGTAGGAGCATTCGAACAAATGAGGAAGTCCTGGAAATATATGGAATATATGCAGATGTGTGACAGGTACTCATGACCAACCAAGCTCCTAAATGTTGGCTAGTAGTTTTGGGGACATAAAGGGGAGCTTTAAGAGGTCATTCAAAGTTGTTTAATGGGTAGTTTGATGGATATATGCAGGCAGTGCTTTCCAAGGATAACATGGCAGAAATCATAAATTTATTGTTTGCAATTATACGCCAATATTACAGAAAGAAAACACATTTTAATATGAAAGAGGAAAGAAGTGAACCTAAGAAAAATGCAGAGGGTCTGAGGACAGCGAGACTTCCTGCTGGCTCAGAACAAAAAGGACATAAATTTGGAAAGCAGCAATGAAGAACGTGTGCCTACCCAACATGCACAATGGCTTCCTGGCAAACTTGAGTCTCCCCCTCCATCCTTTATAGCGACAGCAACAGCCAGCAGCCCAGATCCTTAAGGCAAACTCTGCTCCAAAGATGAAAATGGCAAAAGTTTCCTGCAGCAAAGACACAAACTAGATGGTTAGACATGTGCTGTGCTCACCCTGCCTTTATGGAAGGACAATTGCCCCACAAAAAGTCCTCCATTTCACACAAAATGAGAACATGCATCTGAGTGGCCTACATCACCTATTGGCAGCTTGTCTATGCTGCCATGTCTACAGAAACAGTGGAAGAAGACAGTGCATATTCATATGGTCATACTGAAGAGAATAATACACTTCAACGCTACCTCTCACTGTTTCTGGAGTAGGGAAGAGGATTTTCCACGGTGCTTAAGAGATTGTGATTTTTCAGCTCCCCCTAGTGTAGGGAGGATATGGGGTAGGGAGGGATTCTCAGAGGACATGGCCTGAGGGAAACATGGGACAGGCAGTTACTTTTCCTCTCTGTGCATGGTTGACCAGGAGAAAAGAGGTATTTCCCCTAATACTCATACCAGCAGCTGCTGGGTGTTTGGGTGTTTCTGGGAAAAAAAAAAGAAAAAAAAAAAGAAAAACAAATATGTGAAAATAGGTATGGGAGAAGGAAAAAATAACCTTGGGCTTCCTCACATGGGTCTGTGCAGGGAAACTAGGACTGAAAGTCAGATTTGCATTCCCTAGAGATTGAATGTGTTTCCATACAGCTTCTTCCTGAGAGGGAACTTGCAAGGGGAAACCAACTTTCATGCCTCTTGGCATTTAATTCTTGCCTGGATCTGCATGTCCCTTGGGGTACAAGGAGTAATGGAAAGTGAGATCATAGAACTGCTGCTCCTGCAGTAATTTCCCTAGAGACGTTTTTTTTTTTCTACAAGGCCAGCTAAGTTAGAGGTAGTTCTCTCTACTGCATGATAGCTATGGGAGCAGAGGATGTACTTTATTAGGGCCACCTTCAAAAATTATTAATATGTTGATATTTAGTGATTTTTCCCCTGTTATTTTCCTTCTGACATATGGGAGTCATACACAAATACAGTCTCAAGCACAGACATTCAGAAAATAAGCATGCTGGAAACATGGAGAAAGAAATATATTTTCTTCAAGCACTTTCAAAGGTGTTGGAGCCAGTGCCAGCAACAGTTACAAGCATTCTGCTATCAAACATGAGAGTAAGCCCCTGTGTCATCCCTTGTTATGTAATGAATTGTTGAGATACTCCCAAAAGTTCAGGCCTGGTCAGTGGCAGTTTTATTGATATTTCAACAGGAGAACCATAGGGAAAATGCTAAAAAGCAATTATGTAAAACTCTCCTGGTGTTTTTACCCTTTATTTTACTTCCTCTTTACTCAGTCTGTGCTGATAAAGACACAGGGAACTCACCAATATGTAAAGGTACTGTCATTGCCCCAGGACCAACAGAAGAAATCTTTCTACATGCAGACCTGGGAAAAAGTTTCCATCATTACAGAGATGGGACCAAGTAGGACTGATTTCAGTTTGAGGACCCTACCATGGTGGTAACAGCCTACTCACCAGCAAGAGGAGCCAGTCTCCTGAAACCGTTTCATACTCCTTGAAAGTTGTTAGGACAGCTAAGATCAAACACCCCAAGACAATCAGAAATCTGGAAAGAAACAAAAAGGACAAATCAGAGCATTGTCACCACTCGCTGTATTTGTGTTGGAGATACTGCCTAGGATAACAACCTTGGCAGAGGCCTTCAGGAGACAGCTGCTTACTGTAGGGATGAGATTCATCAAGATCAGGAGGGACTTTCAGGGTCACAAACAGATGTCAGGTGGTCAAGACTTGGAAGTCAAGAAATTGAGGCAAAACACCAACTCAGCATGGCCCCAGGACAGGCATTAAATAATTAACTTGATTGCACTCTTCAGGAAGGAAGCAGGTGATACTGCATTTTGGGAATGGATTATATGCTGTGGCAGAAGACTGCATTGCTCAGGAGGTCTCTGGCAGTCAGATGTTCTATGGTCCTGCAGTTACAGTGACATAACTCTGCTTGGCACATACCATAAATGCTTCAGTAAAACAGACAGTGCAGCACTGGGGCAAACCCTCCTTTGAAAATCACACTGCTTTTCTTTTTTCCTTCTTTTTGCTTCCTTTCTTTTGCAGCTGAAAAGATCAAAGGGCTTGAAAGAGAAGCAATAGGGAGGGCAAAGTTATGCTTTCCAGTAAACCCAGTCCTTGGTAAATCACTGCACCAGTACTATTGCTTCCGAGGCTCCAAAATACAGGAAATTGACAGAAAATTTAACTCTCACCCCTGGCAAATCAAAGTCAATCTAATCTAAAGTCATTCTGTCTGCCTTACAAATCTGCTCCCAGGTTCAAGCTATTCAAAATCCTTCCTACATAAAGATGAAAGAAAAATCAAAGGAGTCTTTTAAGTGATTACTGTGAAGCAGAATAGGAAAAACTCCTATTCTTGTACTTTTTATATCCACAAAATGGTCATTTTCTTGTGCTCTAGGACCAGCCCACAGGGCAGGTGGCTATGGAAATATTTCAGACCTTAGTAAATAAATTAGAAGGCTGACTCCATAAAAGCTCTCGATCTATGCTTTCATAGCTGGTATACATCAAAAAACTGATAGGCATTAGAAACTGAAATAATCTTAAATTGTTAAGAAAAGACCAAAAGTGTAGTTACTTTGTACTGCCTATTTTGAACTTCAATGTGATACCTACAGTATGGCTTCATAAATAAATCTTTAGGTTATTTCACTGGGGGAAGAAAGGAGGCCCGTGGACTCCAGCACAGAGGCAGCGAGAGCAAGGACTGTTGGAGAGGGAGGCTCAGCTCCAAGACAAGTGTCTTAAAACCCCTCTTGCAGACTTATTTCCTTCCTGCATGAGGAAATCTAGAGCTAAGTGGCTTGACAACACACATTTTTGCAGCTGGGGTAAAAGGAAAAAGGAACATTCTGGATGTCTTGTACTGCCTTTTTTGGGGAGGTAGAGAAGGGAGAGGGTTCCTCCAAATAACTTTAGCCAGTGTTGTCTGTACAAGGAACAGATCACAGTGAAATAAGCTTGCAGCAAACCCTGAAGGATTATGTTGCTGGCCTTCCTAACATCAGTTGCTCAGATTGCCAGGAAAACCACCCGGAAAATTTCACCTCAGCCATTCTGAGGTGAATCAAAATCAAAACAAAAATAAATGTTTCTTCGCATGCTAAGCAGTTCTAGCATTTCTTGGATGAGTATCACCTCTTCTCATGCACGAATCATGCTCTGGAATAAGGGTTGCATTGGAGCAAGGGTTACATAGCAGATAAGGGAAAGCCTTTGGGTCCAGAATTTGTCTTTTACCACTTGCCTGCAAATGGAGGGATTCTCCTGTGATGGAGACGTACAGCAGGTCACCTAGCTGCTTGCAGCCCCTCTGCAATGTACCTCCAGCCACTCAAGTTTGCTCTGCCTCCCCATGCTTTACTGGCCCACCTTGTACCAGTGAAGCCAGTAGCTCACTGCTAAGCAACTCATAGTCTGTTTTGTGCCTATATTAGCAAATGGGTGAAAACTCCATGATATGATTCCTTCCATTAGCTATAAACCAGCCATGATCTCCTACATTACAGCCTGGGCTGGTCAAGTGATGCCATCTCTAAGTCCCCACATAAATGCTTGAGCTATTGCTACTTATGCCTTCCATTAGAGTCACTTCCTTACATCACCTGAAAATCTGGCCACCTGTCAGCTCACTAGTATCATTTAAATGACTTAATGAAAGATGAAACACACTGAAAACAGTCCAAGGAAATTATGTCATCAGCTACTTAAATGAAGGAGGTGAATTTAAAGTATCATTTAGCTGAACAGCACTGTCATATAAAGGTGGTATGCAGATTTTTGTCCAAAAAGAAGACAGAATATAATTCAGTAGTGAAACTGTCATGTTTTGTCTAAAACCGACAATTTTTTTAACCACTAGAGGGTATCAGTGCTCCACAAAGCAAAGGGATCCTGCTCTCATTCGTGTTTTCCTTCCCCATCGAAAAAAAAAAAATCACTGCAGGTGCTGTTCAGGTGATCCCACCCATGCATCTGGTGTGCAAGAAAACGAGGACTACAGCAGTGAAAGGCCTTTCCCCTGATCACTTACAGAACAAATGTCAGCACCAACACACAAGAGGTGCTGCCTTCTCAGGAGCTGTATGTGGCATAAGCTACACTGCAAAACTCACAGCTTGATGTGAGAGCCTGGCTGCAAAAAAAAACAGATCGTGGAGGCCAAAACAGGAGAAAGAGGGTGGAAGGGAGAGAATGGAAATCACAAGTTACTGCAAATGATTTTGAGGGACAATCTAAGCCGAGGACATGGTCTGAGCCTCCTGTTGCAAGAAGGAACCTTGAGAGGTTCTAGCAAGCTGTTCTCCCGTGGTACCATCCCACAGGATAAGCAGCCACTGCATTATCACTGCATGTTTATCAAAGCCCATATCAGCACTCCTCCCTCAGTCTCTGAAATGACCACCACAGTCAGAGCACTTCAGGAATTCTTATCTTCCATCTGATCTACAAGTTTCACTGCAGCTCATTCTGTTTGGGAGCTCTGAGGTTAAGAATGCCAAAAGTCTTTTTGCCCCGTCCAACAGTGAGAGACTGCACAGATTTGTATTTGCTTTCACTATTTTAGTATCATTTCTTGCAACTGATTGGAATTTCTTCTGTCTCCAAATGCTTTTATAATCTGAGATTTTCTGCTTTGTTCCATTTGTTCCTTTCTTGTTTTTCCTTAAAACTTGAAATCTAAGTTCATTATGTTCTGCCACGTGGTAAATGCTAATAGATTTTTCTCAGATTATATTAGGAAATTCTGACAATGTTTTTTAGTACTTAGTCTGTGATTCCCAAAGCTATATGGTCCTAAAAGCCAGGTTCCCAAAACCTTTCCTGAATATCATGTTTGAACAACCTTCTCTTCTTCAAATATTAAAAACCTATTGACTGTGACCCATAAATATTAAAAATGCAATATTTTCACATTTCTTTGAGTCACATATTCCCACCCACCATCTTTTTCTCTAGATCCAAACTCCTTATTTGAGAACATCTCCAGTTGGGACTCTTTATATATATATATACATATATATACATATATATATAAAAGAAATAGAAAAAGAAAAGAAAGGGAAGAAGGAAAAAAATAAGGAAAAAAAAAAAAAAGACAAGACATTACCAAACACTTGAGAATGATTATTTGGAGAGGAGAGAATGTATGGATGCCCAGAACCACAAAGCCCTGGTGCCTTCAGGGCAAGGGTGGAAATGCCACACTGCCAGCCTGCAAAGCTGCATCACACTCCTACTCCACAGCCTTGGCAGAGACAAGGCAAGATCCTCCACAGGATGCTTGAAGAAGCCCTGGGAAGTAAGAAGTGATCCCCACGTGATCCATCTCTGCAGGCCAGCAGATCTGGTCCAGAACACTAGTCCATCTGGTGATGGAGGTATGGCCATTATTGCTCATACAATGGGAAATCAAGACAGAAAACACTAAGTGCATTCTCATGTCTGGCCAGATTTTTGTGACTTTGGATTCTGCAGCAGCAGGAGTTTCTCTGAACTGGATTCACTGCTGTTTCCTTAAGTCTGGAAAGTTTTTAAAAAGCAAGATCTGAGAGAGGAAAGTTACACTGCAGTGCAAAAGCATTTAAGGTACATGAGCATAGTTTTTAAGCCAGGTATTTCTCCTCTCCACTGTATGCCAGTCAAGGTCCTGGTTAGCAAAGAGTCTTCCTCCTGCTTTTTCTTCAGGTCCACCCTTTAAAACTTTTTGCTTCAATGCAGCATGCAGTATCACGTAACGCAAAAAGCATTATCCAGGACTTTGTGCTCTAGGGGACCTTTCAGGAGAATGGCCTGATATATTTGCTTGGCTTGCTGAGATGTGAGTGCAAAACAGAAAGCACAGAGTGCTACAGTTCCCTAGCTCAGTCTTCTCCCCTAGAAGACACAGTTCTTCCAGGGACAGTCCATTCCCATTTTGTCCTTGAGGCAAGTTCTAAAAATGCTCTGAAAGTTCTAGCATAAATATAATACAAGGAGAGGCCTAGGTGACTTATCACATGGATGATTTGGGGGCAGATGGTGGAAATAAAGGGAAGACAAAGACAATGGTACCAAGGAGTTGCTTTGCTAATTTAAGTGCTTTTAAATTCTGTTTTTGTATTAAGTAAATGAGTGACATTGCACTGAAATATTGCCTGGGACATTTATCTGCCATGACTAGTATGCCTGTCCACGGGCTTATCTCCCTCTGGCAGCACGCAGCTAATTGACTTGAGACACATAAACTGTGAAAGATGGCGGACAACAGAGCACAGCAGAACAGGAACAGCACGTATCCACACAGCATCACCTGGCAGCCTCATCTGCTGTAGCAGCATATCAAAAAGCTGCAGAAAAGTTTCAGAAATATGACATTCTCCAAAGGACATTAACAAATTTGCGTTAAATTAAGGTAAGCTATTAAGAGTCATGTGTTAACTTCTGTTAAACTGTTTTGGTCAAGAAAAGTGTAGGACATTTGAAAATCAGCCCAGCCTTCAGCAAATCCTGCAATGAGAAGTGAATTTAGAGCACATAAAAAGTATA